ACAGAGGAGCACGTACAGCTACACCACGAACATCTGGAGCGACAGAGGAGCACGTACAGCTACACCACGAACATCTGGAGCGACAGAGAAGCACGTACAGCTACACCACGAAACATCTGGAGCGACAGAGAAGCACGTACAGCTACACCACGAACATCTGGAGCGACAGAGGAGCACGTACAGCTACACCACAAAACATCTGGAGCAACAGAGGAGCACGTACAGCTACACCAAAACATCTGGACCGAAACAGGAGCATGTACAGCTACACCAAAAACATCTGGACCGACACAGGAGCACGTACAGCTACACCACAAACATCTGGAGCGACAGAGAACGTACAGCTACACCAAAAAACATCTGGAGCGACAGAGGAGCACGTACAGCTACACCACGAACATCTGGAGCGACAGAGGAGCACGTACAGCTACACCACAAACATCTGGAGCGACAGAGAACGTACAGCTACACCACAAACATCTGGAGCAACAGAGAACGTACAGCTACACCACGAACATCTGGAGCAACAGAGTCGTACCTATGTTGGAGAGCACCTCAGTCTGGGAGTCCTCCAGGACCCGGACTCTGAGGTTCAGGTGGTCCTGGGTGTCACTGATGGAAGGTCTGCGGGGCCTCTTCTGCTCAGATCGAGCCGACCTGCAGGACAGGAAACAAAACGGACCAGTACCGAACGGATCCTTCATCATGAACGAGGTTAAATGTCCAGTTAACGTCAGTAAACGATGACTGTGATGCAGACTGGGAGTTCTGGTCTGTAGGACCTTGATGGGATCTGAAAGTCTGGGTCCAGGTCTTCTCGGGTCTTTCTGAGGCTCGTTGTCGATTGAGCCGAACGCTGCTCTTCTTCATCTTCATCATCGTTGTACCAAAGGAAGTCCTGGCGTCCAGACTTGTCCTCACCTGGACAAACGGACGCTCCTGTTCATCAGATGAAGAAAAAGAAACGGTTTGTTTTAATCGTCGAGACACTAAAGACAAAAACAAACATTTAGTGTCAAATTAACAATTAACGCACGAGACAAAATGAAACATCTGCAGCGCGTCAACGATAAACTGCTGCTTAAACAAAACGGGTCCGGCTCCGCTGCGTCCACAGGATCTGCTGACCAAACCTTAACGGGCCACGTCCCAGAGGTCATGACCTTCACCACAATGGAACGGCACAGACTACACAATACTGCAGAAGCTGCTCCGATCAGTCTGAGGGTCTCATGCTCCGTTCTTCCATCACTGAGAACAAAACCAGACACTTGGACAGCTGAGGCAGAACCGGAGGGACTCTGAGGACCAGGACCTGAGGACCAGGACCAGAGACTCTGAGGACCAGGACCTGAGGACCAGGACCAAAGACTCTGAGGACCAGGACCAGAGACTCTGAGGACCAGGACCAGAGA